CTGCTGGAGAAGGCTGCCAGAGACTTCTGGCACAGAAAAGTAAAAGTACCACTTTTTGTTTTCTCTCCAGTACTTCCCTCTTTTTCTTTCTATATTATTTAGTTTGTACAATTGGTTCCCCCCCCCCCCCCCTTTCCTTTCATAGAAACTACCCAAACCAGATTATTTATCGGAGCCACTGGTTCATTACTGGTCCCTTTATACTATATTTCTTAATTGAAATTTTACTTCTTGTGCATTTTCTTTTTAAAAAGAGAGCAATTCTAGAGCATATACCCTCCCTCTCCACTCTCAGTGCTGTTGTGTATAGCCACAGTGCTGAGAAATGACTTACTTATGATCAGAAACTCATGATGTATTTGGCCTTCCAGCTAACCACCCAGATATACACTGGGTCCTGCTTTTAACCTGCTGCCACCTAGACCACATTTCCCATGGTACACATCCACCATGTCTAACCTTTAAATTAGTTCTGACAACTGTGCTTGGCACATCTCACTGGTGGCAAACACAAAACTGGCATTCTCACTTGAAGACATGTTTGTGCCAGCATCTCCCCATTAGGCTCAGGCAGATGGAGATACCTGCTCATGCCATGGCCCTCCAGTTCTCTATTTACAGTCCCTCAGTCCTCAAACACACTTAAATTTTCTAAGAACTTTCTAAGTGCCTAATGTTGTTATCTGCTACAGAGAATAACAAGGTGCTACTGAGTCCTCAGTGCTGGAACTGCATGCTTGTGGCTCAGTATCAACTAGTCAGTCATTATTATCAAGTATCTACAATGTACTTAATTAGAACTACTGAAGCCTCTGGACATGGGGTGAAAGCTGTGCTTTTCCAAAGGTAGCTCTGTGTAACAGAGAAGCATTTCCCACTCCACTAACCCCAAAGAACTTAGGCAAGCAATAAGTACAATGAAGCAGCTGCTTGACAGCCTTATTATAAAACAGCTTAGAAAAGTATGTGAAAAATACTGTATTCAGCTGAAACTACAGGGAAGAATAGAAGAAAAATAATTAGCCGAGTCAGAAACTGGCTATGGCACTGGGTCTTCTGAGCCTTCTATTTCCTTCAAAATACAAAGGGATCTTTAAATACCAAGTAGTAAATGAGACTTTGTTTATATCTAATCTTAAAAAGCCACCAGCAGAAAGAGCACCCTAATAACATCCTTGGCTCAGAAATAATTCAGAAGCAAGAGGGCCATCTGCTGAATTCCCAGTACCATTTTCTGCTGCATCCTGGAGGATTTTCTTCAAAAGTTTGGTAACCAAGTTCTCTTCAGTGCCAGCTCTGCTAGACCTGTGAGGTGTGGCAGTAAACCTCTGACTAGGTTTGGCTACAGGTCACTATTACAGCATATCTATCATGACTGCAAAAACTAAAACCAGTATGCTGATCAATGTAATCTATTTAGGACTCCAAAATCCTGTAGACAATATCAGTCTGAAGTATATCTCTCTCTGTATCATAATGTATTTCATTAAATAGAAATTTTCAGAGGCAGAAAACTTGCACGAACATGCACGAACATAACTTTCCAGATAAATTAGAAACAAACAAACAAACAAACAAAACAAACAAACACCTGAAAGCACAGAATCAGGTCTCTAAAATAAGCTTCAGCTTACTGTCCATTACCCTCAGTAACATCAGCACCATGCTCAAACTCAGCATTCCCTTCCCTTTGCAAGTCTATCACAATTCCATTGATATATGATTTACTGACAACTGCTTTTGATTCCACTCTCTGAATTCATTACCACCAACTTCAGATCCTAGCTTCTGCACATCCCCAGCTAGTCAATTTTCCAACATGCAAAAGTGGGCAAAAGAAAGGTAGAATTTTAAAAGGATTTTATGACAATGCTGTCAGTTGCATATTCACAGGCATAAATTAAATGTGTTACCTTTGTAGTCATCCATCTCTTGCTCTTCTTAATACTGCTACAGCTAAAGGTCTCTCTGCATTCCATGAAGAAGGGCCAGAATTGCATTGGCACAATAATACCTAAGTATGCTAAATAAACACTACAGAAACATCCAGACTGAAAAATCCTTGTTCATATAACCATGAAATTTGATAAAGGTATTTAAAAATATTCACCACTGTTCTCATTTCTTAAAGCATAACCTTAGGTCTACTGACATTTCATGGTCTGTTAATACAGAACACTTTAAATATAGAAAGGTACACGTTATCTGCTAAAGACGATGTAGACTCATGCATAGAATAGCTCATAGTGTACAAATAAAAGATTGTTTAATGGTACAAGCTATAAAATCAAATCTTCAAGGATGCTTCCAAGTTCAGCATTTTAAAAAATGACTGCAAGACATAACCGGTGTCTTTCAAAGTTATAATCAGGAGGTATTAAATCAATGCACAAGCACAGGACTGGGGATACAAATAAATACCATTTGCTTAAGACTTCCTTCTAAAGTATAAGTGGTCCCAAGTTTATCTTATAGGTTACTGAAAATACAAGGACTTGGAAGGGTTTCTTTTGTATTGTGTGACCTTTTTTTTCATCCTTAAAACAATTTTACTGCCTCAGTCAATACTAAGCTTTCATACGCATGATTCCCACATCCATAATGCAAAAATGCATCCAGGTGGTGTTTGCTATTCACTATTCCCAACTTTGTACACACTGATGAGCAACAAGAATATGGTCTGGAAAGTTGTAACTTTGTACGCATGTACAAATTACTCTAGAGAACCACTGATTTCCATATTTAATAGCAAACCATTATCTACTTTGCCAACTAAACATCCCTTTTTTTTTTCCTAAAATTTGGACTCCCATGTGAAAACATAAAAACAGCATATACAAACCAGTAGGAAATGCTAATTATCAAACACATGAAAGTAAGAGAGTTCTAGAGCTACAATTACCCAACATTAATAAAACAATTTAGCATGTACCTTTATTCTTATAAGCTACCCACTACTCCCTCTCCATAGGGCTTGGCCTATCACCTCAAAAGCCTGTCTAGCTTCAAAAAGAGGCCACTAAAAAAAAAGGCAAAAGGAAACAAAGAAAAAAAAACAGAAATTTATGTGTAGAAGTGAAAGTTTTCCCTCAAGAATTCAGAATGAAAACTAAAGATTATTGAAATTGAGACCTTTCTATAGAAATGGTCCCAAACCATCTAAAGCATCCCAACTCTTGGTCATGTGAATCCTGGAAAGAAGTTCTATCTTAGTGAAAAGCAATGCAAAGTGCACTCGATACCTGATTTAAACTGGAAAGCCCACATGAAAAAACACTTCCATTAAAAAATGAGTAAAAGAGACATGAGGTTATTTTCAACTTTGTATTTTTTTCCCCTTTTCTACTAAAGCCTAGATAGGTGGCTTCAGACTTAGATGCTTCAATTTAAAGAAAAAAAAAAAAGAAAAATTACACACCTTTAAGCAATAAAAACATCAATACAATTATTTGCTGGGTTTTTTTTCTCCAATATTTTGCATTCAAACAAAAATTACTCCCAGCTGGTGGCAGAGTTATGATGATTTGCTAATGGAGTTCGACAATTACATTTATCTCATTAATTACTTAGATAGACTGAGAGGAGTGGTGTGCATGCTCACTAAGTAGGCAGAAAGAAAGGGAAAGAAGTTAGAAAGTGAAGGATCTGGAACATAACAATATTTGGAGGGTAATATCTTCTGATACTTCTCGACTTGAACATCAGCTGTTGAAGTTCTACTATAATGCAAAGTACTTAAAATCCAGCTACTTCCCACTTCAGAACTTTGAGGTCTTTTACTTTCTATCTCTATAATTTTGTACAGAAATCTCAGCTGACACCTCCTGTATTTTGGGAGGTTCTACACGTAAGGTGGATCAGCTCCACGGGTCAGAGAACACAAACGCAGCTCAGCCAACGTCTGATTGATGATACCTAAGGCACCGACGGATTGCACACGAGGGATACCGAAGTACAAGGGAAGGACCTGCAGATGCCGTATGAGAGTGCTGGCATATGACACAGAAGTGATTTTGGAAATATAATGAAATATTTGGCACTTTCTGTCATCGAAAGTCAAGAAAGGGGAAGCAAAAACTTTATCATCACAAGCAGTTTCCAAAAGGTGGTTAGGGCGCAGGTGTGTTTCGGGGCACAGCCAAGCGCTGCCACAGCCGGCGAAAGTCCCACCAGCGGGATGGAGGCACAAGGCCAGAACGGCGGATGACAGGTCCGTACTCCTCAGTATTTCACACGCTGACCGGCACACTGACAGGGGACATTCAGTCATGGCTACGGACGCGCTTGCGGCACTGCTACCCCACTGACGGGCGGAGGGGACTGGAGGCTCCCTCCGAATGCGCTGCCCCCCGCCCCTGCCCGAAACCCTCACTCTCTCCTACGAAACGCCTTTAGCCGCTCACAGAGACCCTCTACCGTAGCTCGGTGGGAGTCTGGTCTCAGCGGGACCTCCGCAAACTTCATGCGTGTTCTACCTAAATGTTGGTCTTGGCAGCTCACAACACACTGCAACCAAACTCGCAAGTACGGGTTATTTTGGAGCCGAAACCATAAGGTCGATCGCTCCCCCTTCTCCGCAGCGTCAAAACCCTGAGCAAAGTACTAAACCGCGACACCTGGAGCCGACATCTCGCCTTCCCCCCTCCAGCAGCCTCCAACTTCCCTACAAAGCGTCGGGAATTCACCTTTCACCGGCACGACCCCCGGCCGCTCTCCGCAGAGACCCGCAGCGAGGGGCACCCCTGCCCCGCCGCGCAGAGCCAGCATTCGGCCCCTCGGCTCCACACAGGCAGCCACCGACCCACAAACTTTTCCGCGCCGCCGGTCGAGGCAGCGCTCGCACCCGCCGCCCCGCGCCCCGGCACCGACTCGGCGCCCGCGGGCGAACGCCGCCCCCCGCGGACCGCTCCGCACCTCTCCGCGCCGCGCATGGGCACCCCCGGCCCCGCTCCTACCGTGCGGGGGGCAAGTGAGGGAGGGAGCGAGGAGGTGGCAGTTACCGGCGAGCGAGCGCCCTTCTTGCAGAGCGGTCCCCTGAAGACGCCTTTGATGCCGCGGTAGTGCCCGTTGCTGAGGTGCCGGGAGCTGATGACCAGGTAGCACGCCATGCGGGCCCCCCGGGCGGGCGAGCAGGGGGGAAGGCAGGCCGGCTCCTCCTCCTCGGCGGCGGCGGCAGTGCGACCTCCGCCAGAGCAGAAGCCCGCATGAAGGAGCGGGCGGAACCGCAGCAGCGATCTCCCCCCTCCCGTCTCATCCAGCGGCCGGGTTAGCGCTGCCAGCAGCGGGATGCACTGAAGGCGGCAGCAGCAGCGGCGGCTGCCAGAGCACATCTGAGGGAGCGCGGAGGCCAGTCCGCATGCTGGTCCGCGGGGAGGAGACGGGCCCGAGAAGAAGGGCAGGGAGCAACTTGCACGGTCCGCCGCTACTATGGCCCCTTCCCTCCCTCTTCCTCAGACCAGGCCACCGGCTGCCGGCATCTGAAGGGGAGTTTCTCCACGGCTGCTCGGGTGGCGACAGCTCCCCATGGCTCTTGCCTTCGCCGGGTTGGGTGGTGGATGCAGCTGGCCGCCGCGCACAGCCCTCCCCTCCCGGCCCTCCGGTGCCGCCGCTGCAGCCGGCGCCGCCGCGCCTCGCCTCACCTCCGCGGCGGGAGGGGATAGGGGAGGATGGGGGGGCGGTGCGTGGTGCGAGAGGGGGCGGAGGAGGGGTAGGGCTGCCTGGCAGGCAGGGGGGAACGGGACGCTGCCTCTCGCCGCTGCGGAGAGGGGAGCGGGCTGTGGGCCGGCAGATCCGGGCTGCGCGGGCCGGGGAAGGGAGGAAGGCGGCGGTGCGCGGTGACCGCCCTCCTTCTCTTCACCCAACTTTCCCGCCTTCGATGGCGGAGATGTAATGTCCCTGCTCCGCGTGCCTCTGGCTACGCTTCCCCCCTTTGTCCCGCATCCCCTCGCTTGTCCCGCCGCTGTCGCGCAGGTTGTTCCCCGGCTGCAGCTATGGCCGTTCCCCGCCCTCACGGGCACGAAGCCAGACGGGGAACACCCTCCTGCTACCCCCCTGCCAGGGACGAGAGCGGGCACCGTCCCTCCGCTGCCAGCCGCGGGCCGGGTTAACGGAAAGCTGTGCTGCTCCGGTTCCCGCTGCTGGCTGCAAGTGCAAAGTCGCCCAGGACCGATGGAATGGCTGCCCGGACATCCCCCGGCCTGTGGCTGAGCTCGTCTCCTTCGTCCCCCCTGGAAAGCTCGTGATTTTAGGTGTGTGGTGTCATTTACGACCTAAATGATTTACACAGAATCGTAGGTGTGACACTCTCCCACCACTAAATAGCTGAAACAGGTTGCTCTTTCTGCAAGAGACCTGCGCGATGCACCTTGGACTTGCCAGGCACTACTGGGCTTCTTTTCGTCAGCACAAGTATCGTCTGTGCTCTGCTACTTACTAAATCGATAAAAATAAATCAATAAACCACATGGCTTTAGTAGCCCCCTGCAGATCATGCATTTCTTCGAAGTAGATTACTTTAAAGTGTAGATAAGAATTAATGTCAGATCATTCTTTTAATCCTGTAAAAGCCTGTTTTCAGATACTTAGTGAATGAAACTGATAAGCCACACTCATTCTAATTTTAGCCTCTCAAGAGCTATCATTCTATGAACCTAACATAAATAAAATCTCACACAAGCCACCGAACTGTATAGATAAAAAGGTCACGACAAAACAAATGTCATTTTTATGGCTGTGTATGGAAAATAGTATTGTACAGTTGATATCACAGTCTTAGTATAGTGTTTAACATACAATATAAAATTTGATTATAGTTCTGTTTATGTACATATACATGTATAAAACTGAACAAATCTATTAGGTATTTTATTAATAAAAACATAATGTTATAAAGAAAAAAAAAAGGCATCTGAACCTGGAATAAGCAAAGCTGGAAGTAACACACTAAAAACATCCTTATGTTAACCAAAACACACTGTTTTGCAATGTAAAGAACTGTGGGATGGGGGTCAAATTAAGCTGGTAAAACCCAGGTGCAAAATAAAAAAAAGAACTTGGCTCTCTGCATAATGTGTGGTTGAACTGTGGGACTCCTTAGTAAAGGATGTCATGGATCACAGATTAAACAATCCCATGAATCAATACAAACCGGGCTTTGGGGCCTGGGAGCAATAAGGTGCCTGCAACACAACCTGGGAGGACTTTCCCAAAGTAAAAATTTACATTGGAAAGTGGCTTTTGAGAAATTACACTCATTACACGTTAATTTGATGACAAAAATGAGCTTTTATGATTATTTCCTCCTGCAAGTCACATTTGTGTAATTGACTTGAAATTTATTCTTCTTGTCATATTATTTATCTGTTTTGTTAACTACTCCTTCTTTCTGAAATAACTCCCATGCAATGATGATAAAGAGAAAAGTATTCATTTCACTTTGACTTTTGGTCTGCATCTTGACTTTCTGACTCTGCACTGAATATGCAGTTCTGGAAGTAAAGATAAGCACTTCCTTTTTTTCTGGCAACGCTTTCCGAAACTTTCCTTCTCTATGATGTACTTCTTGTTTCTCAGACAGAAAGAGAATTTACCCCCCATCTCAGCAACTTGCACAGAGGTCCAAGTTCCTTTTCTGTTTGAAGAGATGCGTTAAATCCTTTGCTTCACAGAGCTACTGATGTTCTATTAGAAGGTGAGGGAGAGTGTACAGAAGACCCACACCACATACATGCAGTGGAAACACATGTTTGGCTGTCAGAGCTACACGGACAGACTGGGCAGTCTGTCTCGCCTGCAGAGGAGGTTCAGCACAAGCTGAAGCTTTGCAAGAGCTCCACTGTAGGCTAACAGACAGTACTTTCCTCCTTAAACTTTGAGAGTCTTCCACAGTTCATTTACTAAGATTGTTTGGAAGGGAAATTATTTGCCTCAGAGTGGACTGTACAGTATTCATTTTATCCTGCTGAGAAGGATGATGTGCTCAATTGGCCCTGCTGTGAAAAGTAGAAGTCATTTTAGGCTCACTTCACTTGGCAAACTCAGGGGAATAGTTACTATGACCACCAATCTAATTTATAAACAATCTGTAGGACACAAGCCTGAGAAAATGGGATTAAGAGTTGTCAAATGGAACAATTAGACATTAATTATAGCACTCCCTGAACATTCCTCCAAATCTCTGGAGATGCTGCACCTTCTTCTCTTTCGTCACAGGTCATGTGGAAATATGAGCCTTAACTATTTGTACTTTCAGCTAGGTCCAGTCCTTCACTACCTTAGAACTCATAATTTTCACCTGAGCAAGGTGGATGTAAAATACTGTCTTTCAGAACATTATGCTTTCTTTGCAGAAGTCTTAGTGACTTTTCAAGATTCAAGGATGTGGAGAAGAAGGTCAGCTGTCACTAAGAGATGATTATTAGAATAATAAAATGTTCTCCAGTTCATCTGTGCTCTCAGTTTACACAAGTTTTTATAATTACTAAAGATTACTTACCATTTATTGCCCCCCCCAAAAGTCTGTAGCATTTTCTAATTATTCTTTATAGGGATTGTTCTTATTGCACAATGTAGTGTCAAATTGAAATACCCAGGCTAGTTCTAAAGCTGCTAGTTCTGATATATATATATACTCTGAAGATCAGCCAGCAGAGAACCATATTAATGTAGTCACATTACATTTAATGGTTGAGCTAATTCATATGCTTTTTTGCAGTATTAGTACAGTTTAGACATACCCTTAAAACATTTTCTACACTGTGGATTTTATTTAGATTGTAATTCAACCATTGATCCTAATATGAGTTCCACTTGCAGAGTCCCTTATACTGATATTTTCTGCTATATAGGCAAAATCTACAGTTAGCATGATTCGTTGGCTGCTAACCTGTTTCTCAGTGTGAATGTGGGCTAGATCCACTCAAAGTCCCCAGTCCTAAAATGTTTTCCACAATCCCCTTGCTATGCTCAGAAAGAGAAAGGACATCCATCCTCATGGCTCCAGATATGAGAAAATTCAAAGAGTACAAAGAATCTTCTGGCACTACACCTCTACATGTTTTACTTTAGCAATCAAACAAGAGCAGAGGGTGTGTAGACACACAGCTTGAATGTTGCTTCACAGTGTGATTATTCTCAAGTGAGTTAGTTTAACATGAGATGTTTTCCAATGCAGAAGAACCCAAGTGAGCCCTGCAGTAAGAACACACTCTAGTAGTGATGTGATTTTTACAAGCTGATTTTTACAACCAGTCTTCATCACAGTACTGAATGAGTGAGAGCAACAAGAGTGAGATCCTGACAATTCAGTTATAAAAACCCAAAGTGAGTTTTCTGACATATAACAGAAATGTTTTAGTGTAGCTTTACGCTATGTTATCTTCAGACGTAAAGAAGATTTTAAAGCTGTACATGAAGTCTTGGCGATATATGGAGATCTTTGATTATAACTGCTTAAACTTCATCCACCCTCAGTTCCTCCTCTAAGCCATCCAGCCAACTTCTAATTTCTTTCCATTCTTGTGGCCCATAACTGGAGCTAATTCCTCAGTGTTAACATGAAAAGTGAATGAACTCCTGCCCCACTTAAACTGGTGACAGGTTTTGAGGTCAGCAGAATCAGAGTTTCTTCAGAAGCTTTCGACTGTTAAGTGTGTTCATGCACAGTAACAAATTCTTGCAGAAGTCTGGAACGTGCTATTAGATGTCCTATTATTCTACCTGAAGACATTAAATAATAACCTGGAAGAGTCTTAATTCTTTGTAAATTAGAACCATATATTAGGAATAGTCTACATTTCTGTAGATCGTATGAATTAATAAGTTTTAGCTGGAATGTTTGATTTGTTTTTCTCGGTGCAGCATATATTTTGGGGAAAATTTTGTAAAGTTTTATTCTTACTTTGCATCCCTGCTGGATGTAAAAATACAAGGCGAGATGGTCTGTGTAAAGCTTCTATGTTTTGCTTTCAGTGAAACAGCAACTTCAAACCTCAGTTCTTGTTTTCCTAAATCTTAAAAGACACCAACTGCATTTTTTCCTGAAGTATTAGTAGTAGCCTACTTCATTTTATGTTTTTATTTCATTAATTAATGTAGAATATTTTAGTTCTTCCATGCTTTATTCCATTTGAAGTAAACATCATAATGCTTATCCTAACATTTTTAATCCCAGGTGGCCTCTTTTTATCTAAATAGTAGTTAAATTCCTCTAGTTAATCGCTTATGTAAGCAGCCTTCTATTACCCAAAATTTGGCATTATCAAGGTTTATACACTTGAAGCATTGCTGGCTAAGTTATTCTACTCTCTAGTCCATGCAGAATCAATGACACCATTTTACTTTTGATGGAGTTTTTGGGAATGCCAAAGTGCTGAATAATCACTTTATAGTCTAAAGCATGCAATTAATTGTATAACCAGCAAATACAGCAGTCTTCATGATTATCAGACTGGAGTGCATGTGTATACATAAGTGAAGAGTGGTAAATCATAGCCTACTTTTCTCATAGGCTCACACACCACTGGTTTTAAGTCATACAGTTGAACAAGAATCTCATTCAAATAATTTATCCTTACTCTAACTTTTCTTTGATACATGTCTCATGTGATATTCAGC